CCCTTTTGTTCACAGGGCAGCACTCAATCCACTGAGCCACACCAGCCAGGGCATATGTTTTTTAAATTGATTTCAGAGAGAGAGAGAGAGAGAGAGAGAGAGAGAGAGAGAGAGATCAATGTGAAAGAGAAACATCAATCGGTTGCCTCCCATTTGTGCCCTGACCGGGGGTCAAATCTGCAACATTTTGGTGCACAGGACTATGCTCCAACCAACTGAACCACCGGGGCAGGGTAAATTCTGAATGTATTTTAAAGGGAGAGTCAACAGGATTTGCTGACAAATTGGACATGAGGTGTGGCTCCAACGTTTTTTGTCAGAGCAACTGGAAAGATGAAATTACCATTGACTGAGATGAGGACAAGTTTAGGAGGGGTCATTTTGGGAGAAAAGATCAGGTGTTCAGATTGTGATATGTTGGTTTTGAGATGTCTATTAGACATCCAAGTAAAGATGAATAGTAAACAGGCCCTGCTGCTGAGGTGCTCAAAGTTAGAGAAATGGAAATATGGAAGCCGATTATTACAATACCTGTGAAAAGTGCTATCTTAGAGGGGTATACAAAAAAGCAAATTATCAACTCGACTTGTGGGGGGAGGACATAAGAAAAGTTTTGCAAGAGAAGACATTGTAGTTTGATCCTAAAGGGTGAATAGGTGTTCATTAGGTAGAGGAAAGAGAGGGTGTCTTGTTTTCTATAGTCTTAGACCCTGGCGCGCAGTGGTTGCCCAGTTAGACCCAACCTAGTCACCAACCTAATCAGTTGTGTGATTTTGGATATTATTTTACTTCTCTGAGCTTCAGTTTCTTTCTATGGAAAGTGGAAATAATCATAGGGTTTTTGTAAGGATTAACTAAAACACTTAACACACCACCTGATGTACAGTGGGTTCGTGTTAATTATTATTGTTGGATGTACAAATGAGTGAATATCTTCCTCTGTGACAAAGTCTAGGCTAGACTGGTAACCTAGGAGCTTAAAGCCTTTTATATGCTCAGCAGTTTGTCAATATAGACTGCTAGACAAATTTTCTACTTACTAAAAATGGTTCAGGGAAAAAAAAGAACCTATATATAGCCTGGGCCCTCTGAACTGCTCTGATTGAGCAATAGGCATTGCTAAGCCTGGGGTAAATGGAGAGGGTCAAACTATACTCCCCACACCCCATTCCTATGGACTGTTTTTTTCTTTCTCATCTTTTCATTTTTAATGAATCTGAGTAAAATCCCTTGAGATTCACAGTGAGCTTCTCCCCACTCCCCAAGCTCTGAGACTCAGACTAGACTGAGTTGGCAACCCTGACATACCATGACACTTGAAAATCCTTCCCAACTGCTAAGCCTGAGGCCCCAGGAAAACAGGCGCCCCCTACAGGTCGAAAGAAGCCCCGCGCCCTGGCAGACGCTGTGGTTGCCAGGCAACCGGAAGGCCTGCTCAGACTGAGGCAATGGATGAGTACGGGAAGGGATGGGGAGGAGGAGGGAGACCATTTCTCATCCCATCTACCGTCTCTCCAGCGCCCTGAGTACATTAATAAAGTTGAGGCAGCACAGCCCACCGCTGTCTGAATACCTGGGCTTATTCTTCAAAGTAAAGCTTCATTGGGCGGCACCAGTCTTTGTAGGTGGAGAAACAATCACCTTTGCCCCAGAGCCATCTGGTTTCACCTGGGAGGCAGAGTCTGGGGGTGCTGAATGCAGAAGTTTCCAGTTTGCAAGGAGGGGGCACTGCTGTGGGTGTGCATCCTTGGTCTATGGGAATTCTAGCAAATTGGGTGTAGGCGGGAATAATTTGGGTGATTAGCCCAGTAAGGTATCAAGATTTCCCCACTATTCCCAATGTATAAATTAGGGAACTGCTACTTTAACTCATTAAAATAAAAAGGCCTCATAGGAACGCCAATATACAGGCTCTGGCACAAATAACGCCCCTTTGTATTACAAAATCATAAGTACATAATTCTGTAACATGACAATATCACACTCAAGCACACCATATGACATTTTAGGTGACATGTTCAAATTAAAACTAGAAATTACTACACCCATATCATTACCCTACCAACCACACTCAAGAAGGCCTTACTTCTGCCGGACGCTGTATAAAGGTCCCACTTTGGTGGAGACAAGTTTCTCACTAGCTTTCCTAAATGAGTGTTCTCTATGTAGTAGATCTTGAGGTCTGTTGGCCCCTATGAGTAGGGTCAGACCTTAATAAGAGACGAAAAAAGAAAAGGAAGAATGGGAGGGTGGTCAACAAAGAGTTAGGTAGGTTCCTACTGCTGTGTCTGGTTTGGGGCTAGCAAATTCCTGGCTCTGTGCCCTCCCTCTCTGTTCTGACCATGCTGCACACTCTATCCTCATGAGAGCCTTTGAAGAGCAGAAATCCACAGCTTTTTCTCCTAGTAACCTAGCACTCCGGCCCAGGAGTACGTGTAGGCAGGCCAAGGCCATGGCCACAATAATCCCTCCACTTGGGACTCGTTTCTTCACTCTCACCTAGTAAAACAAGAGCATCATTGCCGTAGAGCCCAAAACATGCAAGTTTAGTGGAGAGCTGTGCCCAGGAGTCTCATGGCGGGCTTTCCCTCAGGAGTTGCAAGGTAGAGATACCACACTAAAATACTGGCATCCAGAGAGCTACTGGTCCTCCAGCCACTGTCCCAGTCCATGACACCTGATGGCTAGGGGGGGCTCCTTGCTCCGTATGCCTCCAGGCTGAACTGGGTCCGGACTGTGCCTCATCTCTATTAATAGCCCCTTAGCCCAATCTGGTTGCCCCAAACCCAAATGCCAGAAGCTGAGTCAACAGCTAAAAATAGCTGAGAGCAACTGCACCTGAACCCCAATGAGCATCTCCCCCGGTCCCTCCGTCCTTAAGTTTTTGTCAGTTTCAGTCTCCAGTCCAGGGCCTCACAAGAGCTTAAGTGTGCTTTCCAGTCCTCCTGCGAAGAGACTAAGGATTTGCGGTGGCAGGCTCAGGGCTGAGTACCCAAGGCTGGGGGCTAGGGGCTAGGGGTTAGGGGTTGGGGCTGGGTCCTGCATCCTGTCGCGGGTCTGCGAGCTGGAGCAGGACTACAGCTGAGAGCCTGGGAGCTGGCGGTTAAGGAGGCGGGGGCCGGAGACTCTGGAGGTAATCAGGGTTAGGTCAGAAGGGGAAAGGAAGAGGCTGCAGGGGGGTGAGGCCGGGTGTCTGGGAGGCGACAGAAAAGTCGGGATGGGGAGAGGAGGTACATACTCAGGGGTGAGAGCTGGCACTACCTGACAGGCTGGGCGCCCCAGAGCTGAGGCCGTGAGTAGGCCTGACTGAGGGGAAAGATTGCGAACGGGCAAAACTAAGGACACACAGTCCAGAAAGGTAGTGTGTGAAGGAGACCTGCCGGGTAGCAGGAGGCGTGGACCCCGAGAGGACCCGACCCGCAACAACCCCGGCGCGCTTCCGGAGCGCCTCCGCCAGCCGGCGCGCCGCGCGCCGCGCCCCGCCCACCGCGCCAGCTGCAGGCCAGGTATGTTGGCGCCGACAACTACATGTGTGTGCATGTGCGCGGGTGCATGTACATGTGTGTGCAGGGGTGGTGGAGCGGTGAGGGGGGAAGGGGCGGGGTCCCCGAGGAGAGGGGCGGCAACACAAATTCAAACTCGCCTCCGTCAATCTCAATCAAGAGACCGGAAGTGGCCGGGGCATCCTGGGCATTGTAGTTCCCGGGGCTTTCCTGCGACCGAGTAGGGGCTTGTTGCCAGGTGCTACGGCTGCCCCAGGTCCCAGTCTGGCGAGAGAGGAGGAATAGGGAACTGAACCTCCTGAACTCGCGAGAGCCTTAATTCGACTTGCCTTCGTGTGCAGACACCAACTTGGGCGAATGTTGTGCAGTGCAGTCCCCCACTGCACAAAAATTGTGAAGAGTCAGCTATGGATACCCCTCCTGTTCCCCTTTTCGCCTTCGCCCCACCCCCTTCTACCAGACTCCTTATCCTAGGCCAGCTCCACGCTAGTCACCTGAGCTGTTTAGCCCAGGTACTCACGAGCAGCAAACGCACTGGGAAACTTGCTCCTCGAGAGAAAGCCAGGTCGGGGAACCAGACCCTGCGCGCAGCCTAGAGAAGCGAAAACTTGTGGAAACTGGACCATGCCGTCAGGGTCCGAAGTCAAGAACACAGATTCCCAAGCTGGCAGGGGAAACAGGTGTCTTTCAGCAAACACATCACGGTGGTGACCGACGCGGTCCTCCTCTTGGAGCAGGTGACCACAAGGTGGAGCTACAAAGCAACTCTGCACAGCGCGCCATGGGGCACCCGGACCGCCTCCCGTGGCGATGGCTCTCCTGCTTCCCTCTTGCAGCCCTTCATTGCCTCAAGTGGCCCTACTCCCACCTCCAACCTATATATTTCCCTATGACGACACCTCATTGTCACGTCACATACAGCCCCAGGTGGAGGGTGCATCCTCCACCCAGCCCCAGCGCTGAAAAGATGAGACAACGACCAAATGGAAATAAAATTTATTTAGAGATGGGATTAACAGGGAAGAAACAGGAACCAACATGTCTTAAACAAAAAGGCTGTGCGCAGCAAAAAGGCTCCTGTAGACATAACTACATGGCTAGATGGGCCCCTTAGCCTCCAGCCGCTAGGTAGGAAAGCAGCTACATTGCAGGTGTGGAGGGAGACGGTGAATAGAGTGGGATTGGTGTCTTTATCATCTCACAGGTCTCCAGGAAGGCCGTTCTCTCATATCCTTGAGTCACTGTTCCAAGCTGTCCCGTCCCTGACACACCCTGTGCGTTCTCCACTAGAACACGTACACACAAGTCTGAAACGATGTTGGCAATCTCCTCTGTTCTAGAACATTTTGTTGTGGGAGAAATTTTTCATGACTCACTCTCTTCCACAACCACCTCGGGTCCAGATCTGAAGGGAACCGTATTCCATGGGCATGTCCACTATCTGGACAGACGGCCCTCACAGTTCAAAACATTCTGTTAGCAAAGTTCACCTCACTCCAATACCACCAACATTCCACCTCAGCCATTCTCCCTTCCTTGCTGTTGGCAGATGTGAACAGCTAGTGGGGGCCTAGGGCAGGGCATTCACTCCCTCCTGACATTGTTGATCTTGGTCAGCAACACAGCTGTTTCTAAGCCTGGAGAGGGGAGGGGACATGGCAGAGATGAGTAAGGGGAAGGCTGGCAGACCAGAAAATGAGGTAAGGGGACAAAGTTCTTACCAGTTCGCTCTCTCTTCTCAGCACATCTCCTACAGGGAGAAAAGCTTCCCATTGTGAGTTCAGCCAGGTTGAGGCACAACCTTTTGACCCTGGGTTTCCCCAAAATGCGTTTCCCAGGTTTAAGCCAATTTGGTGTCCAAGGAAGAGTCTAAGATTCTCAAAGGAACCAAACAGACCCGACCCCAAACCCCAGGCAGCATATATGAGTCTGAATCAGTCCTGTCGCCAGGGCCCTGGGGAGAATAAAGATCCAAAAAGCGGAGGCACAGAGCACTCACCCACGGAGGATGAAGTGACACAAAATCAGCAGGGCGGAGACGCAATTGGTGAGGATCCACACCATTAGGTAGGTTTGAGGGGCCTATGGGAATAAGCAAAGGCCCCTGTCGGTGACCAGACCCCCAGAGGTAGTATATGGGGGAAAATTAAGGAAGAGGGTTAAGAAGCAGCAGGAAGGAGTGACAGTCTCAGAGCCCTTACAATAAGCCAGATGGGGTAACGCATCTGCTGCAGCAGCTGGCAGTCGTTGGTGGTGACCGAATTCACCCCTGCACACCAGAGGAGGGAGAAGAGCCAGGGCTTGTTCACTACAAATAGGTTCACCGAAACATTATCCTCATGCAGTGCCCTATGGAGGTGAAAAGGAAATGGGGAACATGCAGACTTGTGGAGCACAAGGCGTGGGAGGCAGCCCCTGTCCAGCTTGAATCTGCAGTGGCTCCTTTGCTTGGCAGTCCCTGACCAAAAGTGATTTTCTTTGCAGAGCTGAACTCTGTCTTTTGGTGGATTCCTAGCTTCGCTGTCTGGGGCCACCCAAATGTGTCTCTCCTCTTTGTCCCCTGACAGCCCTTCAGAGGTCTGAGGAACAGTGATCATGTCCCCCTGAGTCTTCTCTTTTGTCGGCCCAACAGCCACGGTTCCTTCAACTGGGCCTTGGAACCTGGCTTATTGTTTCTTTCACCACATAAACTCCTTTCATCTGATCTTACTCTAATTTATCAGTGTTCCTTCTGAAGTAGGGGGTCTGCAGCTGCACATGACATCCAGGTGGCGAGCACAAGCTTTGAGTAGAGCAAAACTCTTCCTGCCTTCAGGGCACTATGCCTGTATGAAGACAGCCCAGGTCAGGTTGGTTTCGGCAATGCGATGTGGCACCGATGACTCATTCTGCACACTGTTCAGTCAAAGCCCTGCTCTGTTTCACACGTTCCTGCTGATTCCAGCCTCTCTTCTCTTGCCTTTGTGCAACTGAGCTTCTTTTGGGCCCCTTTTATAGGTCTTTACATCTATCCCTGTTGCATTTCACCTCGGTACATTTGGCCCATCATCTCAGAGTGCTTAGACCTTTCACGGCCTTCATTTCTCCATCAGTGTGTTCATTATCAATTCAGATCTTTTAAAAATGCGATCAACCCTGGCTGGTGTGGCTCAGTGGATTGAGTGCCGGCCTGAGAACCAAAGGGTCACCAGTTCCATTCCCAGTCAGGGCACATGTCTGGGTTATGTGCCAGGTTCCCAGTAGAGGGTGCTTGAGAGGCAACCACATATTGATGTTTCTCTCTTTCTCCCTCCCTTTCTCCCTCTTTTCCTCCCTCCCTCTCTTCCACCCTCTCTAAAAACAAATAAATAAAATCTTAAAAAAATAAAAGGTGATTAGCAGTTGATGCTGACCAGGACAAGACTAAGGTGAAGGCCAAACCCAATTCCATGTCTCCCTCCATGGTGATGACTTGGGGGAAAGGTCCTTGAAATACTTATGATAACTGGGCTATCCTCCGGTCCACATTTTTTTCTATCTGAACAGAAGAACATTAGAACAGATCTTGGCAGTGGAATGTTTTGAGGTTCATCCTATTTACTGGCTGGGTCAGCTTTTGGGACTCAGCTCACAACTGCGACTCTCTCGCCTCTCTCCCCTGAATCCTTCCTCTCCTGTACTTCTTTATTTCTTTGGTGTAGAATGAAAGCTAAGATCCTTCTTATGGCCTACAAGGTCCTACCCACTTTGGACCCTGCCTGCCTCTCCGGCCCCGCCTCCCCCTTGCTCATCGGGCTGCTGTTCCCGCTCTTCCGCAGCTCTCCTCACCGTTTACTCCTATGACCCATCAGGTCTCAGCCCAGACACCACCTCTTTAACCATTACTCCCAGTGTGACCCCTCCCCGGCCCCTCACTCCCAACTCCAATTGCTCTACTGTATCTCCCCATCTTATTGTCTTCATCTCGCTTATCGGTGTCCAATATGCATATATTCTGTTCACTGGTTTACGGTCTTTCTCTTTTACTTGTATGCCCAAAGCCTGCAATAAATAGTGCCTGACACACAGCAAGTGTTTGATAAATGTTTGTTGTATAAGTGAACGAGTGAATAGCCTCCGCCCTCCCTGCATTGGCTCTTCCCCCGCCATTGGGCCACACGCGATCCCCATGGCTCCTTTCCTCTGGCACTCACTTCATATCCAACTGTGGCAGGTCTTGATAGGGGAGGTTGAGAAGCAGGGGCCTCTCAGTTGTGTTGACTCCCTGCTGTCCGTATATCTGGCGCATTCCGGGTGCCCGTTCTTGGACAATAGCCCGATCTTCATCCGGGAGCCAAAGGACCTGTGGTTCAGGGAGGTTGAGCATAAAGCTGGGGAAGGCCTGGGGGTTCTAGGGGCAGGGGCACAGCACAGAGGTTTGACCACAGAATGGGGCACATGAACGGGGCTGGGGCCCTGGGGTAGGGGCAATTTAGGATTATCACCATGGCCTAGGGAAGGTGGGGTGTGGGGAGGGTCGGATGGCGAAGGGCACTTGGGATCCTGGCAACATCACCATGGCTTGAGACACCCTTGAGTTCAGCACAGTTTCCAATGTCTGGTTCACAAAAGTGTCATAGTATGTGTGGTTTCTTGGGGGGCGACGCAAGTCAAACATAATGGAGAGGTTGAGGGCTGCAGCTTCCTTCAAGAGCTCTTTCAATGTTGGTACTCTCTGATTCTCAGCCTCTTTCCGATCAGGGCCCGACAGCTTCTTGGCCGCCCAGAAGGGTGGCCTCTATAAGGATAGAAAAATGATTTCAAGACCGGAAGAAGCCTCTGGGCCATTCCCCCATCCTCACCACCTTATTCATTCCCCAACTTGGCGTCCAGCTTCTGCCCGCCTCTGAACCAGGGTCTTTCTTTCCTCAAACTATAGCTTTTGCCATACCCTCTAACACCTTAATCTGTGATCCCAACCTCCTATCTGCCCAGTTTCTTAACTTTCTCTCTCCTGCTACACTTTCTCTTTGGTCTCACGGAGGTCTCTGGGATCTTGACCCCTTGGTATCCTCCAAATCCATCAGCAGCTTTCTGGCTGCACCTGTATCTCCCACCTATGGCCCTTCCACAGCTTGAACTACTCAGCGCCTTCAACAACTTTCCTGACCCACCTGTTCTACAGATCCCAAACTCTGATTTAATTCTACAATTGCCTGCCTCCTGCACCCCTGTGGCAGGGGGCAGAGCACACCATGTGGACTGTTGGCGCTGCAGTCCTGTTTTTCGCTCTCGTGCCACTTAACCATCATTTCACTTGTCCTTGATTTGCTCCCTCCCCCATTTCTTCTAGAGGCTATGCCAAACCTGGGCCACTCTCCTCTCCTCCCCTTGTCATCAACAAATGACCTTACCTCAGATTGACTGACCTGGAAAAAAGGAGCTATCTAACACTTATTAAGTGTTTACTGTGTACCAGGTAGTGTTAGAAGTACTTTATGAAGCCCTGCTGGTGTGGCTCAGTGGATTGAGCACCGGCCTGTAAACCAAAGTGTTGCTAGTTCGATTCCCAGTCAGGGCACAGGCCTGGGTTGCAGACCAGGTCCCCAGTAGGGGGCGCTTGAGAAGCAACCACACATTGATATTTCTCTCCCTCTCATTCTCCTTCCCTTCCCCTCTCTAAACATAAATAGATAAAATCTTTTTTAAAAGAATACTTCATGCAATAGGACCTGCCTGGAGGGCAGGTGAATATTTCCTCTCTGAATGATGCAAGATGAGATGGACAAGAAGTGCTCTGGAATGTTATAGTAAGGACTTCCAAATATCTGTTTCTTCAGAAAAGCAACAAGAACATTGCCTCCCCCAATGTCAAAGTTATGTTTGACTTCTTGAGTATAATGTGTGCTAGGAATGACATCTTTAAAGTTATAGGAAAAAATCTCAACATTGAATTTAATATCCAGTGAAAATATCCTTCAAAATTACCTAAGCTCATTTTAGGAGGCAAGTGTAATCCTAATTCCAAAACCAGATAAAGACACTACAAAGAAAGAAAATTATGGGCCAGTATCCCTGATGACCATAGATGCTAAAATCCTCAACAAAATATTAGCAAACTGGATCCAGAAATACATTAAAAAGATCATACACCATGATCAGGTGGGATTTACTCCAGGGATGCAAGGTTGATACAATATTAGCAAGTCAATGAATGTGATGCACCACATAAACCAAATGAAGGACAAAAATCACATGATCATATCAATAGATGCAGAAAAACATTTGATAAAATCCAGCACCCATTTATGATAAAAAACACTTATCAACATGGGAATAGAGGATAATCCCTGAACATAATAAAGGCCATATATGACAAACTCACAGCCAACATCATACTCAATGGGCAAAAACTGTAAGCGTTTCCCTTAAGATCAGGAAAAGACAGGGATGTCTGCTTTCACCTCTCTTCACCTCAACATAGTACTGGAAGTCCTACCCACAGCAATTACACAAGAGGAAGAAATAAAAGGCAACCACATTGGAAAAGAGGAAGTAAAATTGTCATTATTTGCAGATGACATAATACTCTATATAGAGAACCCTGAAGATTCCATCAAAAACTACTAAAACTGATCAATGAATTCAGTAAGGTAGCAGAATACAAAATAAATATCCAGAAATTAATTGCATTTTAATACACCCATAATGAACTACTCATTTACAATTGCATTTAAAAAAAAAAACCCTAGGAATAAGTATAACAAGGATGTAAAAGACCTGTACTCGGAAAATAATAAGACACTGAAGAAGGAAATGGAAGAAGATAAAAACAAGTGTAAGCATATACCCTGTTCATGGATGGGAAGAATTAACATCATTAAAATGCCCATACTACCCAAAGCAATCTACAGATTCAATGCAATTCCTATCAAGATTCCAATGGTGTATTTTACAGACCTAGAATATTACAAAAATGTATATGGAACCAAAAAGACCCTTAATAGCCACAGCAATCTTGAGAAAGAACAAAGTTGGAGGAGTCATGCTACCTGATATCAAACTATGCTATAAGCCCATAGTAATCAAAACAGCATGGTGCTGGCATAACCACAGACATATAGGTCAATGGAACAGAATAAAAAGCCCAGAAATAAACCTATGCCTTTGTGGCCCATTACTATTGGACAAAGGAGGCAAGAACATACAATGGTGTAAAGATAGTCTATTAAATAAATGGTGTTGGGAAAATTGGACAGATACATGCAAAAAATGAAATGAGACCACCTTCTCACACCATATGCAAGAATAAACTCAAAATGGATTAAAGACGTAAATGTTAGACTCAAAACCATAAAAATCCTAGAAGAAAACACAGGCGGTAAAATCTCGGACATTTCTCATAGCGATATTTTTTTCTGATATGTGACTTTGGGCAAGGGAAACAAAGGGAAAAATAAACAAATGGGACTACATCAAACTAAAAACTTTTTGCACAGCAAAGGAAACCATCAACAAAAGAAAAGACAACCCACTGAATGGAAGAACATATTTGCCCGTGACACATCTGATAAGGGGTTAATATCCAAAATTTATAAAAGACTCATACAACTCAACACACACACACACACACACACACACACACACACACACACACAAAAAACAAGAAACAATCCAATTAATAAATGGGCAAAGGGCCTGAATAGATACTTCTTCAAAGAGGATATACAGATGACCAATAGACATATAAAAAGATGCTCAATATCACTAATCATCAGAGAAATGCAAATTAAAACCACAATGAGATATCGCCTCATACCTGATAGAATGGCTAACATCATTAAATCAACAAACAAGTGCTGGCGAGGCTGTGGAGAAAAGGGAACCCTTCTGAACTGTTGGTAGGAATGCAAACTGGGGCAGCCACTGTGGAAAGCAGTGTGGAGTTACCTCAAAAAATTAAAAATGGAACTGCCTTATGACCTAGTGATTCCACTTCTGGGATTTTATGTGGAGAAACCTGAAACACTAATTCGAAAGAATATATGCACCCCTATGTTCATTGTGGTGTTATTTACAATGGCCAAGATATGGAAGCAGCCCAAGTGCCTTTCAGTAGATGAGTGGACGGAATACTACTTGCTGTAAAAAAGAAGGAAATCTTAGCTTTTGCAGCACCATGGATGGACCTGGAGAACGGTATGGTAAGTGAAATAAGCCAGTCAGAGAAAGACAAATACCATATGATTTCACTCATACGTGGAATCTAATGAACAAAATAAACAAACAAACAAAATAGAAACAGACTCTTAGAGAACAGAATGACAACTGTCAGAGGGGAGGGGTTTGGGGAAATGGGTGAAAGGGGTTTGGGGAACTGGGTGAAAAAGGTGAAGAGATTAAGCCAAAAAAAATGAAGCTCATAGATACAGACAAAAGTATGGTGACTACCAAAGGGAAAGGGGGTGGGGGAGGTAGAAGAGGGGAAAAAAGGATAAATGGTGATGGAAGGAGTCTTGACTTGGGATGGTGAACACACGATACAATATACAGATGGTGTATTATAAAATTGTATACCTGAAACCTATATAATTTTGTTAAGCAATGCTACCCCAAAATATTCAATAAAAAAGTTTAAAAAAGAGAGATAACACACCTGTCTTCTTGATACATACTTTCACATTTCTAAATAAAGTCCTAATTAAAAAAAATAATGGTAGGAAAAAAGGCTTTTCCAGATAAGTGAATACTGGGTGAACTTGTCACCAGCAAGAAATATAAGAATAGTCATAATAAATATAACTGACGGTGTAAAATAAAAACCCATAAGCCTGTATTTACATGAGCAAATAAATGAATGCAAAAATATGAGGTAAACAAAGTACATTATGTGTATTAATTTATTCAGTCCTCCCAATAATCATACAAGGCACTGTTATTATTCCCATTTCACAGATGAGGAAAATGAAACACAGAGGCACTAAGGAATGTTGTCCAGGCTCACACAGCTAGAAAGTGGTGAAGCAAGTCAGGATAGGATGCAAAGAGAGACATACCTTGCTATTCACATTCTGATATGTCATTATATAGAGAGTTAAAATCACCTCGCACCAGCCAGAATGGCTACCATGAACAAATCAACAAACGAGTGCTGGCGAGGCTGTGGAGAAAAGGGAACCCTCGTGAACTGTTGGTGGGAATGCAGACTGGCGCGGCCACTGTGGAAAGCAGTGTTGAGTTTCCTCAAAAAATGAAAAAAGGAACTGCCTTATAACCCAGAGATTCTGCTCCTGGGAATATATCTGAAGAAACCTGAAACACTAATTCAAAAGAACATAAGCACCCCTGTGTTCATTGCAGCGTTATTTACAATCACCAAGATCTGGAAGCAGCCCGAGTGTCCATCAGTAGATGAGTGGATAAAACAGCTACAGGACATTTACACAATGGAATCCTACTCGGCTGTAAAAAGGAAGGAAATATTACCCTTTGTTTCAGCGTGAATGAACCTGGAGAACATTATGCTAAGTGAAATAAGCCAGTCAGAGAAAGACAAATACCATATGATTTCATTCATGTGTGGAATCTAATGAACAAACTGAACAAGCAAAACAGAGACAGACTCATACATGGAGAGGAGATGACAGCTAGTGGGAGGGGGTTGGGGGTGGGGGGATTGAGCAAAAAGGAAAGATGGACAACAGTGTGGTAATTGCTAGGGGGAGGGCAATATAAGGAGGATAAATGGTAATGGGAAAAAATACAATAAAAAAGAAAAAGAAAAAAGAGTTACAAAAGAATATGTGAAGCAACCCTGTTTGTGCAAAATGAAAAGTATATATGTGTGTGTGCACATAACTGTATGTATGTAAACATATATATACATGGAATATGAAACCAATGGTTAACAGTGACTATCTTGGAGGTGGCGGTTGAATTATGAGAGACTTTTGCATTTTTAGGTTATTTCTCTGATTTCCTTTTTGACAAGGACAAAAGGAACGGAAAAGATAAAGTATCCTTTGCAACGGGTTCCATCCCCCGAGGAACTGAAGTCCGTATGTCTGGCCTGGCATTTGAAGCCTTCCAAGACCAAGCCTCTGCTCCCCTCGTCTGTCTCCCCTGCCACTGCTCCAACAAGTTTTATCTCCAGGTGCCACCAAGCCACTTTGTGTCCCCTGGAAAAAATGCTTCTTCGTACTTCTGGGCTTTAGCCATGTTCTTGCCTCTGACCAGAATTCTCATTTCCTGCCTTGTCCATCTTAAAAACTGCTTAGGCGTCCTCTTCTGCGAAACTTCGCCTGACCTTTCCCGCAGCCACCTTGCCAAACAGTGACGTCTCTACTCAGGAACAACACTGTCATCGCTCTGGGTTTCATATTCTGATAACCTGTTCCCCTAGGTCTGCTTTTTATTTACTACAAGGGAGTGGTCTGAGAGCAGCGACTGTCTATCTATTGCCCAGCACAGGGCTCAGCAAGTGCTTATCAATGAAGGAACTCTGCCCTGAGTGGCCCTGCAGGTGGCTGTCTGCTCCCAGACGAGACAGATGCTGTCCTCACCTCCAGAAACCAGGCCCCGGCGTTGAGTGTCTTCAGTTCCGTCCAGGAGAAGTCACTGCTGTGCTCGGTGATGCGGGTTGGAAACACCGAGGCCACATCCGTGGTTCTGCTCAGGCGCTCGTCGTGCATGAGGAAGGGGACCCCATCGGAGCTGAGGGCACAAGGGGTGTCAGAGGGCCGAGCTCCGGGGCTGTCCCCATGTCCCGAGCCCCCTCCCCGCTGTGCCTGTCAGCAGCCCCCCACTCCTGGCCCCAGCTCTCCTCACCTGACCATGACGTCGGTCTCGAACACGGAAGCTCCACATTCAGCTGTCTTCCTCAGGGACATCAGAGTGTTCTCAGGGGCCAGCTGGGAAAGGGACTCGGTGAGGGGGTCACAAGGAAGGGTGGGGGCCTGGCCACCCACAGGCCTGGCTGCTGCAGACCCTCCCTGCCTTGCTAGCATTCTGCCCAACGCTCACCATGGGGGCCCCTCGGTGCCCCATCAGCTGAGGCTTGGGCGGTAAGTATCTGGATTCCATGATGCAGGGTGAGGAGATGCATAGGGGGGACAGGTAGATGGCCAGGACAACTCCAAAAAATAGGGACAGTAGTGCAATCTTCTGACCTGTGGGGAGTGGGAGATAGGCTATGGAGAAAGGGCACTGGGGCGCTGGCTGAGCTCTGGGGGCCGAGAGCAGAGGGCAGTCGCAGGAAATCGGGCAGCAGGAGGCTGAAGCGCGGGTGGCCAGCGAAGGCGTGTAGGGGAGCGCAGTTGGCACCTCTTTGGTGGATACGGTAGAAGGCATCCGCCACAGGCCAGGCCAGGATGGTAATGCAAGCAACAGCTCCAATGTGAAGGAATGGGGCTGTGGCCTGTGGGTGAGAGTTGGTGAGGAGGGCCCTTCTCCCTTTCTCCTCGGAGGACCTGACTTTTGGGGTTTAGAGCTACTTGCAGTCCTGGGGAGTCAGGGAGCAAGATAGGTCCTGGGGTTGACCCCAGGCACGGCTCCCACCCAGGCTCTGGAGATCAAGCCAGCCACTCACCTGTAGTGACAGATGTAAGCTAAGCAACTCCTCCTGCCATTGGATGCCCAGTACTGCAAAGCCAGCGGCTACAAGAAGTATAATGAAGAGCAGCAGCACCTGGGGGACCAGGTATGAATGGGGCCTTTTGTGTCAACCCCTGGCTCATGGCCACCTGGGTTGCCCCCTAACTCTATGAGAACAAGACCATTCCCTTCCTCTGACTCCTCCAATTTCTGTCTTTCATTCTGCAAACATTCCCTGGGCTTCAGGTCCTGAGTTCGAGCCCAGGGATAGAATAGTGAGCTCGTAGGCCCCGGGTGGTGTGGCTCAGTGGATTGAGCGCTGACGTGTGAACCAAAGGGTCTCCGGTTTGAGTCCCAGTCACAGCATATGCTTGAGTTGTGGGCCAGGTCCCCAGTAGGGGGCACACAAGAGGCAACCACACATGGATGTTTCTCTCCCTCTCTCCCTCCCTTCCCCTCTCTCTAAAAATACATAAATAAAATCTTTAAAAACAGAAACAAAAAAGAACGATGAGGTCCTCAGCAAACAGCCAGCCACGTGCCCCCTCTCCCGTTCGCTCCCATTCCCGCTCTACCTTGTGGACACAGTGCAGGTGTAGAGGCTGTCCACAGAGCCGCAGCAGCACAGCCAGGAGCTGGGGGCAGAGGAAGGGGGTGGGAGCAGTGAGGTGGGCTTCCCAGGCTGATACCCTGCTCCTCCCCTCCCCACAGTGGGCCATGGTGGAGCTGAGCTGTAAGGAAGTCCCAGGTGGGGGTTAGGCCACACCCCCAACCCCCGACCCACCAATAGCAGGGATGCATATGTGACCAGTAGAGAGACGAAAAGCATAAATGCCAGGGACCAGTCCATCCAGTGCCCCCAGTGGCGAAACAGGAATCTGTGGAAGGGGAGAGAGGCCTCTGGGTGCAGGAAGGGGTGTTGGCAGTGGCCTGAGGGGAGTTGGTACGGGTGGACCCTGGTGGGGGACGGGAAGGGAGTGAGGGGCAGCCCTTCACAGGGCCGGGACTGCAGGACTGGGGAGATTTCTCAAAGGGGTCTTCTAAAGAGGTCGGGTAACAGGAGGGCTGCGCAGGGCTGGGGATGACTAAGCACCCAGGGGTCCCAGGGCGAGTAGTTTGACATGTATGCTGGGGGGGATGGGAGGGGCGGGGGGGGCGTCCGTGACACACTCATTGAAGTTGTGCAGGTCATTGAGGAGGATGAGCCCGACGTACAGCCAGCCCAGGGAGACAAGGAAGGTGAGGAAGAGCAGGCCCAACCAGAAACACTCGCACTGTAAAGGGGCAGGAGAGAAGCTCACAGCGGATTCCCACTTCCAGCTCCATCCCTAGTGGATGGCAACTCAAGGGGACTTCCTGCCAGGCGTTGCGCTGCTCTGCGGGCAGCTCTTCCCATATTTGAGAGGTTTTTCTTCCTGGGGAGAGAAAGCCCCTTTCCCCCAGCTGCCTCTCAGCCTCCTCCCCTCCAAGCGGCCCGGGCCTTGGGCTTCCGCCCCCTCCGCATCCATCCCTACTCCACCTGGCCGCTCTTCCTCCTCTCTTTGGGGCACTTCCTCCAGTGGCAGCTATACAGGCAGCGGAGGCAGCGGGTCCAGGTGGAGCAGCAGACGGGGGACTCGGCCATGGTGAGGGCCTGCGGGAGGGGATGTTCCACCATCAGGGGCCCTGGCAGGAGGCAGATTGCAGCCTTCCTCGCGGTGTCTGTGAGGAGACCCGGGGACAGTCTCCGGAGTCTTTCATTTTAACCTGGGTACCTGCTCCGTCAGTGGGACACCTGGGAAGTCCAGCCTGTTTGCTGGCAGGCTGAACACCCAATCTCTGCTAGTTAACAGCATCTCAGCTCGGGGCTCGCCCACCCCGGGGTGGAGGCTCGGAGAAACTGCCTGGGGTGGGGCAAACTCAGTTCAGCAAGTTGAGTCACTTCTGGCCAAGCTTCCACCCCAGTAATCGAGAGTAACCTGAAGCAAAAGTTACAGTCCTGACCTGGGGCGAAGGGGAGGCGTAGCTAGTTGGCCAGTTGCTATGGATACGGATTGCACACATCACAAAGCCCTGACTGAAAGATCTTCTGTCTCCACCTTCCAGGGCGCAGGGGGCACAGCCAATAACAGGAAGACAGGGGAACAGGCAGCCTGGGTCACTTCCAGCCTTCCTGAAGGGACGCTTTTCCTGTCCGCACACACGTGGAAAGTCGAAGTCCTTTTCCCTAGTCCCGTCGCTTCCTGCCCAGCCATCCCCAGCCCCAGCCAGGAACCCAGTCTCCACCTCCTCCCCTGCCAGGGTTCCCACTCTCTGAGGTCCCTTAGGTGAAAGTGCAACAAATATAGGGCAAAGGTATGGCTGGTATGGCTGTCCTGGGGCAGGTGATTCCTGTACTTTGTGCTTTCAAGTCAGGCTGATAACTAGCTGGCTTACTCATCCCCAGACTAGGCTGGGTGAGAGATGCTCACTGTCCAGAAGAAGGGGTGCAATTTGCGCCACCTCTTGTGTGCACTAGTGGCCGGCTGTACAAACGGGTTTGTTGATGACTTTGGGTGTGCAAAGGAGCCCCTGAATACACCCAAAATGTGTGCGTTCTAGGCGACGCCGGCCCTTGTCATTGGGGCTCTCCTGAGGCTGTGGAGTCTTGGCGGGGTGCACAGTGGCCGGGCTCCCAAATGGATGGAGGGTGTGGCTGCTCCCAAAACTGCCCTCCTTGTCCTCTGCTTGCCTTGGGAAAGGAGGTTAGGGTAGGGCATGGAGGGGTGGGGGCCTGGGGCTGGGGCTGGGGCAGGAGACCTCCCAGCTCCCTGAGCCGCCTCGCTGGAAAAAGGCATCCCCAAGGGTGGCCCTGCCTCTGCGCACCCTGGGACTGGGTTGTGGTGGCCTGCCCTGGGCTCTGTCCGCACCTCCCGCCTCCCCTCCAGATCTGCCCTTGTACCCCAGGTGCTGCCTGCCGGAGTGTCACCGTCCTCCAGGAGCTGTCAGGAGGATGGGGTCAGGACCGAGCAGTCTGAGAACCCCAGTCAGGGGAGCAGAGCGGGGATGCTGTCCAATCCCTGCCGCCGGCCTCCGCCCGCCCGCCCGCTGCTCCCGCCTTCCCGGGGCCCTCACACCTTTTCTCAGCGGCAGCTCTGCTCTCTGCTCTGCACTGCTTCCCAGCTCCTCTCCGAGTTGTCTGAGTTTGCCTCCTCCCTCTGCCAGGGCTCGGCTCGGCCCCACCGCTCAAACAGGTGGCACTGTTGCCACCTATAGGAGGCTCTGCGGGCCTCTCTGAAGGCCTGCAACTGCTCTCTGGCCTGCGCCCAGTCCGGGTGGGAAGATGGGAGGGAGGAGGGGGGAGGGAGAGCAAATCGGCCTCTTTCCTCACTGCTGCTGCTGCTGCTGCTGCTGCTGCTGCCGCCGCAGCCAGTCAGGGGGCTCGGGGGGTGAGGAATTCCTTTGTGCAGCCTTCCCCATCCCTCTGTCCCTCCTCCTGCTGCACTCAGTCACTGCCGGGGCTTTGTCCTGGCTCAGGGAGGAGGGCTGAGAGCACTGGCAGGAGGCAGGGGCAGGGTAGGGGGGAGGCTGGAGGAGGTGTCCACACAACTCTGCAACTTGGCAGAGTGGAAGGGGCCCACCCAGCCCCCTAGGAAGTGGTGGTGTCAAACGTCATGCGAGGACAGACTTGGTTTACCAGCCTCAGTTACTCAGCCTCCCTTCCCTCTTGGGAGCGTGCTCCTACTTCTACAAAGTGCATGGAGAAGAGAAAAATGCAAGTTACTTCCTAAAATCTGGGCAGCAGGTCATCCTGTTTCTAGGCCAGGGGTCCCCATGGACCTTTGATCCTCCTCCATCACCCCAGTGAGCATACGCTCATTCAGGATGGTCAAGACATGCGTCATTTCAACTGCCTTAACTCCATAGCATCTAAAATCTTCCAAGAATGTTTGAGGAGTGTAGGGTGTTAGGGCCACAGGCTTTTGAAAGATGAAGATAATTGTTGACATAACAAACATTCAAATCTATAGTGAATTTTTTTGTTTATTTGAGCCAAACTGACAATTGCTGGGAAGCAAAATCTCAAGGGATTGAGAAAATGCCCCGGAGAATGGCAGTTTTACAGCCAATTTTATACACTAGAATCAAAGGAAGAGACGGAAGGAGGGTTACATGAAATCCATGAGGTCCATCTGGGGTCGATTAAGGGGGCAGGAGAAAGTAAAGCGGGGATATCACTGAGGTTAGATAAAAAGAAAAACAGAAACATATTTGTTTTACATCGGTGGCCACAGGGTAGTGAACAACTAACATGTACAGCACAAAGAGATGGTATGTGGGGAACAAGATAACAATGAGGGGTTCCTGGCCTCTGTTGCAGTGGGACTGCCCTGAGGGTTCTGGAAACTTGATTACCCTGACATTCCAAAAGCAAGTTATCTGAAATGGAAAAAATGACAACAGGCAGGCTTTCTTAGGGTAAAGATTGACTATATCAAGGCAGATGCAGGCCTATAATGTGACCACCGCTTTTAGGAATTTTTATGTTCAGACCATTCTATGTGGTGACTTTCAGTCTGAGTCTGTGAGGCTACCGCGCAGGCCTCTTGTGAGCTGGTCAGATTTAGTACACGGCCCCTTTTTCGTCCACAACATACAAAAGATGCTGTCACTACACCATCGGCTAAGAGGGCTGGCTAGCACTTGCAGTCAGCTTAGTGCTACAGCACGGAGCTCTGGGTGGGACGGGGGCTGGGGGTTGCCTAGACTGATCTTCCCTCTTTATCTTTTGGCGATGCAGTGGCTCAACGCCTGTGAGCTAGCTAGTGCGGTTTTGGAGGGAGAGGATGCCTCTCCGGGGATTGCTCGGTTTCCCCTCCCCCAACACACAGTGGGTTTGGAACAGCGCAAACGAAGACTAACTCTCTTATGCCAAGAGAGAGCCTCCCTCCCTCTCTGCCTTCCCATTGTATCCAGGGGCTCTAGTTGGCAATGGCAGAGGCTCTGCTGCTCCCTCGGCATTAAAATGCAGAGAAGCAGGGCTGCTTGCTGGCAGGAGGCCAGAGAGGGCTGCGGGGGCACCTAGTCCTCCTGCAAGCTTCATTCTCAGCAGGCCGTCCTTCGGTTTCCTTTGCTTGGCTCTGGTGGATTCTAGTCTTGGCTTTCACGGGCCATGTTCTGAGGGGTGCTCTGGGAGCTTTCATGAGGGGGGCGGTGCGGATTCAGAATGCATGGATGCGAGGCCCACGGCTTGCAGACTCTTCAGAAGGCTGCAAGGCCAGTCAGCAAACCTGTGTTTGCCTTTCCCGGGCTGGCCCTTTTTTAGCTTTAAGCAGGAATGGAGAACTCCGACACTCAGTAAGGAGCGAGCCACAGCCCTCCACTCCCCTTTCAAGAGCAGTGCGGCCCCATGCTTGTGATCCAACAAGAAATCAGGCCGTGGGGCATTAGCGGTGGTCACGCTGCTGCTCTAGTCACACATGAAGCTCTGGCGTTAGACCTGGGTTCAAGTCCTAGCTCTATTACTCGCTTAACTGTGACTTCTGATAAAAGTGCGACAGGTGCATACAGATGCTTAGTATTTAAATATGATCCTGTTTTCCCAAGTCTAGAGGCCAGGTGGGCTGTACAGTGGAGGTCAGGCCACGGGCCTTGCTAGTGTGATTCCAATTTCCTAAGGTAGCGGAGCGACGTGAAGACACACTGTGGTGCTCCATACTCCCCTCGGGGGCCGGGGGCCATGACAAGGCGGTGAACCCCTGGCTGCTTGCACGGGTTGTCCTCTGTGGCATTCCCAGGGGCCGAGGAATGCAGGTTGAAAGCGGAGCACAGAAGGGTCTTTCCAAACAGCAGAAGCACTACGCTTTATTTATTTATTTATATCATTAAAACGTGAACATTTTGACAGATTTCATTTACCTCAGCACCGTGGAGACCCCCTTCCTGGGGTGGGTGTGAAGGACTGGTGCCAGGCACCCCCACCCCCACCTAGGCCGGCTCCAGCTCCGGCTCTGCCACGGAGCTGAGACAACCCAGAGACAAGACAGCCTTGGTGGGCCTCGCCCCCACCGGGAGACAGCCTTCACTGTTTGAGAATCGGAAGGAGCTAGACTGTACTGGGGACTGGTTCCTGAGAGTCAGCAGGAAGCTCACTTGCTTGGCTCCTCAGCAGGTGGCTTGGCGCCCTTCTGGAGAAGAGAGAGTAGTAGTCTGGGGCCCGAGGGCTGGAGCCTGAGGGCCAACATCCAACAAGTGTTTCAACATCCAACAACTGTTCCTTCCCTTTCAGTAACACGCTGTCCCCTTTTTACAACAGCAAGAAACCTGAAATCTAGAGGAGTCATTAAAAAAAAAACAAACACACAAAACACCACAAAAACCCCTCTGACTGCAACCGGAAGGCATCTCCCAAGCCAGCCAGGGCAGAGGCGACAAGTCCAAGCTCAGTGGACTTCTTCTTCAGTAGGGGAGCAGCCCGAGAAGAAGCTCATATTGCTGGCCAGAGTGCGTTTCTTTTTCTTCCCTGGAGCTTTATTTTCTTGGGATTCTGTGGTTACATGTTTCATCTCTGGGAGGCCGAGGGAGGAGGCATTTGGAGCAGTTTTTAACAGAACCTGCTCCACCTCGCACATCTCTTTCAGGATCTAGGAAGGACAGAAACAGGTC